CCTCTCCATCACAAAGAATGTGAGGCTCCAAGTTCTACTGGCATTACTGACTATGCTTTTCAGATGCTCGGCGAAGGCCACTTCATTCAGCTTAGAGGGACGCTAAAGTTGCAGGGGGGCGGAGGGCAAATGAAGAGAGGTGGTGAGGAAAATGAATTTTAATCCCAATGAGACCAAGCAATTGGAAAAGTTAGTCAAAAAGCATAAAGAAGAAAGCAACGACTATGCAATGGACTGGCAGAGAACATACAAAGCTTTCTGGATCCTACACTTCTATGGAATACATCTTAAGGTCAAGGTCTCTGCTGGCACCCTTGAAAGTGTGAGGCCTTTCCAAGGCTTCTCCATTCATTCCCAGTGAGGTGGGGACTAAAGCAGTGAGAGCCTTAGACTGAATACTATTTTATTTCCATAAGAATGGGCAAAAAAAGAAATTCACGATGTACATCAAGTGAAAAATGCTTAGCATGGGCTGCATACCGCAGCTGGATGGCCTTCCATTCTTGGAAGGATCTGCCTCTACGGTTTCTGTGTAGCCGCCCGGGCGCATCCAGCACCTGAATGTTAAGTTCCCACCGTTCTCTACAGTTCTCACACAAGGGACCTGAGCTTCCTATCCACGTTTAATAAATAAAGCTAATTACACCCACAGTGTTCACTGCATAAGATATCAAACAAGGCAGGCACAGTCACAGATGTGAGCAATAACTTTTCAGCTGGTTGACGAAGCTATAGCCACTAAATAATCTAAAGCCAAATCCCATCATTCATATCAGTTCCGTTCAACTTTTCGAAGAGGCTCCTAATTTCGAGGCAACTGGAACCTCAGTCAGATAGTCTTAGGTCACAGCCAAGAAGAGCACCTTGGAAAGCAAATGACCCTTTATGGGGATGACACTCCACACATTCATACTGTACTTAGGAAAGCTTAGTGGAATGAAAGCTTATTGGATGGAAACGCTGAACACATGATATGAATGATGGGATTTGGCTTTAGCTCATTTTAGTGGCTATAGCTTTGTCAACCAGCTGAAAAGTTATTGCTTACATCTGTGACTGTGCCTGCCTTGTTTTATACCCTATGCAGTGAACACTGTGGGTGTAACTAGCTTTATTTATTATACGTGGATAGGAAGCTCAGGTCCCTTGTGTGAGAACTGTAGAGAACGGTGGGAACTTAACATTCGTGAGCTGGATGCACCCGGGCAGCTACACAGAGACCGTAGAGGCAGATTTTTTTTTTTATCCTCACGAAAAAATAAGCAAAAACATCTGTAATGAAATCATGTATAAAGCTACACTTATTGACAAATTAGTTTCCTAATGAAACACCATCTGCAAGCAACCCTCAGTTTCCACTTGATATAAATAGGTCTTTTACTGTTTTCAGATGCAGTTCACAGAAAAGTCTTCTAAGTGCAACTGCAGAACACATCAGTCTTCTGTTTGTTTGTCTGTTTGTTTGTTTCCTGGAAAGACAGTGAATTAAGCTTTTAAACAAATCATCTGTTTCAAAAGCGTGCTTCCATTGAAAAGCTGACCTTTGGCAATAAAGCTGGATTTTATTAGTATCCTTTTTAGTTAGCATTTATTAGTATCCTTATTATCGGTACAGAAATGCTAAGAAGCAAGGCAAGTTTCAAGGATGGGAAGTAATTAAAATGTCTCCACTACGTACACAAGTGTAGACACAGAAACAAATATGGGCACACACACACATGCACATTTCATTCCAATAATAAATAGTTTTTGACCTCTCAACCCACTAATATCTTCATGTCTGCTTATTCGTGTATCTTAGAACGTGTCTTTTTCCTGGTCATTCGCCCCCCCCCCCCCCCACTCCGCCCAAATGCACTTCATGAACACACATCAGCCTCCTGTCACCTGAGCCAGGGAAAGAACTGGGAAAACTCAAAGAAATCCTATGACTGCTCTATGGACGAGCCTTTTCAGTAATAACTCAAAATAATGCTACCACTCATTGTAGATGGTTACTTTGACCAGGGACCCAGAAGCCCAGGCCTGGAACTCTTGGCGCCAGGGACTGGGGCTGAATTCTAATGCTAAGTGCTTTTGAAAAGCACATCAAGATTTAATAGGGTGAATTTCCAGACTCGGTCAGAGTTTCAGCCACATCAATTCCATTAGGTTCAAAGTTCCGTAAGGCCCCACCCTGTCTATATTTCCGCTCACGTTTTAATCTACACCCTTCTAAGTTCTCCCTTAGGCTGGCTAACTTCTCATTCCCTTTCCGCTTATTTTTGGTTTTCACATTGCCCTTGAAACCTGTATATTACTCTCCTGACCTTAGGGCCCTAAGCTTCTCTCTACCCCTCCTTCAAATCCTTCCTTGAGACCTGTATTTTAAAATAAGTACTTTCTTCATTGATCTCTCATCATGACTTCATTGCACCTGACCCTTTTTCAGACAAGGCTCTACCAAAGTCTGTTTGTACCGTCACTAAAGGCTGCGTACACATAGGCTGCTCCTTGGAGCATCATCACCAGAGCTGATGACAGCTCAGACTCTCTTTGGAAATGTACCTCTCATTGCTGTGCCCGAGCACTGAGTGAAAGCATGGAGTCGTTTCTGAATCTGGGTCAGCCGTGTTGAGAATGTATAAGAGAGAGGATTACAGTGGAGTGGATCTCAGTGGGTCTGTGACCTGTCACTCTGCCAATGAGCTGTTGATACAGGATAACAGACTTCTCGATGGGCCAATGCTACTTCCAGACCAGTCCTGAGTAACAGCACTGCCGTGTAAAGAAAGAAGAGCAGAAGAGACCAGGGCGAGAGAAGGGGCAAGAATGAGGTCCCACCTCCCACTAGGCTCCCCCTCTTTCAGAGTAGGTTGCTTTCTGGCTTTTAAGTATCACACCCCTGTATTGAGTCATCAGGTGGAAATTAGGATTTAGGATTTCCAAATGACCACGCAGGACAAGAATAGAGTAAGACACAGGCAGACAGAGTACAATTAAGGAAGTATAACTGAGGATGGATCTTCCATGCAAGTGTTCACCTTTGTTCGTGTTATTTGATTAACATTATGGCTTTAGGAAATGTAATCGAGTAACGATTTTTGAAGTTCATTCATTCAACAAACATTTATTGAGTATCTACTATGTGCCAGGCGATTGCTAGGCACTTGGGATACAGAGAAGAACGAGACACTCCTTGCTCTCAGGGAGCTCACAGTCTGATAGAGGAGACAGACACATAAACGAGTAACTACCATACAATGACGTCGGTGCCAGCCAAGGTGTATATGAGCCCCTCGGCAAGCCCAGAGAAAGGACTTTGTCATTAAGCCTCGTGGAATCAGGGAAGCTTTCATGGAGAAAAGTGACAACGAAGCAGACTTGAAGGAGAAACAGGACTTCACCAGGAAGACAAAGGAGGGTAGGGAGAGACATTCTAGGCTGAGGAGACAGCAGGCACAACAGCAAGGAAGCACGACAAAGCGGGACATGACGGGGAACCACAGGTAGCTCCGCGTGGCTGAGATCTCATCTGCACGTGAACAAGTCGTGAAGTATGAGGTCGGGAAGGGAGTATGAAATCAGAGAGTGAAGAGCTTTGTATGTGGGACTAAGAAACTTGGACTGTTTCCTGGAAGCAATGAGAAGGCATTGAAGAACCCAAAGCAGAGAGTGACATGGTCAGATCTGCCCGCTGGATCAGCCTGGCTGGAAGACGGTTTGAAAGAGAGGTGAGCCTAGAGGGAGGGACACCAGACAGGAGGCGGCCCAGGCAAGAGATGCTCACGGGCGCTTCGAAGGCGGTGAGGGTGAAGAGGTGACAGACTGGAGAGATACTTGGGAGGAAGCTTGACGAGACCTGATGATTGATGATGATACCGACAGCAAAACCGCCTGAGAAATGAAACAATACTCAAAACATGCACTGAGAAAACCCAAACCAAGGGCCCCCGTCCTCCCTTCCTTGGTGTTCCCATCGTCCTCTGGAGTCAGAGCATCTGCTGAGTGTGAATAAAAGAACAGCCATAGGGCACATGTGGTCAGACTTCTCTAATTCAGACACCACTAACTCGGACTCTGCAGTAGTTCAGACAGACTGTCTGTGAGTCCTACTGAGTAAGAATTTCAACCTACTTTCTTCCTCCGTGTCTTTTCAAGCCTTTAGTCACCAGCGAAAGCAGTGGTTTCTTCTGCAATCAAGCGCTTGAGGTGCAGCAGACAGCCGCTTACATGCTGGCATCTGAGAGGCACCCAATATATGCCCCCCACCCAGGGGCCACAAGGCCTGAGATCCAATCATTAGCGATTCATTCCTTTGGGAGAGGCTTTTGTCCCCCTGGACTTCTCTTTTATAAGGCAATGCTTCCTGAGATAGTTAAGACATTTAGGCATTCTAAACCCAGTGGGGTTTTGGCTGAGCACAATGCTTTTGGCTTTGACAGAAGGGATCAAGGTAGTACAAGAGGGTTAGGTAGGCATCTGCAGAAGAAGGTGATGCAGGAGGGAAGATGGAGGGACTCGGAAGATAATGTTAAGACCTTGCCAAGGAACAGCCCGGCAAGCGCTCAAGAAACTACGATTCTCAAAGAATGCCTTCCACCTCCGGTTCCAGCAAATCACACTTGTACATCCTTGTACCTTAAGGGACTTCTGCGTTTTATGTTTATGATACGCTTGCAGTTAGTGAAGGCCTAGGGTGACTCACAGTCTTTTCATGTACCTCATCCTGCTTAGGACCAATGAAAATCTCCAATGTGATTGATTTGTACAGAATATTACCACAAATGCATTCTCTGAAACTATCTTATAACTCCAACTTTTCATTCACTCAGACTGACCTTGCCTTTTGTCATTCCGAATTATGGAGATTTAACTGTATTTGCAGAGTGTTAATCAGTCAAGTCACAAGTGACAGGAGATCAAGACTCGACTCTGACCTTGAAGAGTCTCATCTACAGCTCAAGAAGGCATGAAACAAAACAAAAAGAAACAAAACAAAAAGTTTAAAAAGTACTTACTTCACTTGTTTGGAGAATGGTGAACTTTGGCAGTTTAGTCTTTGAACTGGGTGCACTGGGTTTGCCATCCAAGAGTGATCCAAATGACAGATTCCCAAAGCTGTTCTCGAATTCAATTGAAGGTTTCAGCGTGGGAGAGATGTCCGGGGCTTGGTCCTGACCATCCATGGGTCTGACATACGCGGTTGGTTTTTGCTGCCCCACGCTTGTTTTGCAGTAAACCCCTGGTGGGAAGTTTTGAACCACAAGGCCACTGCTGGGAGCTAATAAAGAGGAGGCAACTAGGGGAGAGCCAGGCGCCTGCAGTGTAAATTCAGATTCTTCTGGTGAGCTGGACTGAAAGATTTCTTTGAAAGTATCCCCTCCACTGGACTTGAGATTACCGTCTTCCTTTGCAGGTGGGTTTGACTCTTCAGCTGCTCCAACTTGAGGCTGATCAGCTGGGTAGACAAAGAAGTCTTCCAGTCTGGCAGGGGGCTGGTCCTGTGTTGACGGCTGCGTCTTGTTGGGCTGACTACCAGCCTGGCTGGCCGGTACCACGCTAGTGTTCTGACTATCTCGTGGCCAGTCAGGTTTTGACTTCCGGTTGCTGTGTATTAGAGTTGAATTCAGTATCACAACAGAAGGTGGAGGCATTGGTGCCGAGGAGTGAGGGCTATCCTGATGAGGTGGGATCATTCGGTTCTTTTGTTCTGGAAAAAAGCTTGGTTCATTTTTGTTGATGGGAGTCTGGGGCACGGAATTCTTTGGGATTCCCACTAGATGATTCTGATTAGAATGGTTAGTTAGCAAATCCTTCATTTCATCATAGTTTCCCAGCGTGTTCTGGACTCGGTTGGCAAGTGCATCACCTTTGTTTGTCTAAAATAACAAAAAGATGGGGGTGGGAGGAGAGAGAATGAATAGGTTTGTGTTTCCTAATGTTAATGTTTCATACAGATGTCCTAAGTAGACTAGCATACAGGGTTCTTTAAAATTCTCATGCTGCCATACAATTTCATACATTTCATGCGCTATGTAAGAGAAAAAAATCAATAACACTGTTGAAAGAGCCTCTTGGAATGAGCTGTGGGATTAATGTCCGTATACTCCCTGGCCTGTTCTTACTTAAACACGCTCATTGGGAGAACGTTTTAAATTATGTTGCTTACGAATTTTATTAGCAAAATAACTTATTTTAGGTCCAATGAGTTGAACTGTACATTCTACACCGTGATCAACAACTTCCGCTTACTGATCATTGGAATTATAATAGAATGTTCGACTTATATTTGTTCTTGACATGTCAGCCCTTTGTGCTCCATTGTACCATGAAAAAGCCTTAGCCCGTTGGATAAGGGAGTCAGTTAAACTGTGCTATCGGGACTACATTCAGTTTAGAAAAGGCAGGGGCTTAAACAACACTGAATTGAGCTAACTTATGACTAAAGTGAATCCACTTCCTTTTAATCAAAGACTGCATAAATTACTGGTGTCTGCCTACATATTCTGGGGGCAACTGTGTTTACATATTGATGATTCATACTCGCTTACTTTGAAATGGTGCAAACTGTTCATCAACAGTGACTCAAGCTCTCCTCTGTCTTTTCAAGGGTTTAGAAAAATTTATTCAAGAATTTAAACTGTTGGTTAAGTAAAGCAAAACAAAGTCTGATTTTCAAAGTTGGCAACTACACCATTCTATATGGAGAATCAACACAAGGACTTTTTAGGATTCTCTTTACCTGCCAAAGGTGTTATCAAAACCAGCTGCTGAATTCAGAAGGGGCAAAGGGCTGCTTTGTGTCTAGGCTGCACCATCCTGGCCCAAGATGTTGCAATGCAAGAAGGCTACCAGCATCCATGGAGCCATCGGGCAGCAGGGCCGGCGCCTGGGGAAGACGGCCACCCTGTGTGGCCTCCATGTCCCAGGAGTCACAGGCAAGCTCTCAATGTACAGGAGGGGGTGACTACGTCCCCACTGGTACAACCTCCACTGAAGACAGATGTTTAACATCTAAGGTTGCTCACACGCCCTTAACACCTGGTGTGTTGCCTATTCAAGCCTGGCATCTCAGGCTAAACCTAGGATGTATGGCTGCGTGCTGCTCTCTGCATGTCACGATGGGAGAGTGTGTGGATGAATGGAGGGTGAAGTGCTGGAAATGGATGAAATCACCCAGGGAAAGGAAACGGAGGATGAGAAGATCAGGCTCAGGAGAGAGCCCTGTGGAACGTCAACCTTTAAGAGAAGAGAAGGACCCAGCAAAGGATCCGGAGAGGGAGTAACCAGAGGGGATCGAGCTGGGAACCTCGGCCTTGTTATTACCATAATCCCCACATACTGTATATAGCATTCAACTCGGGGTCACGGGGCAAATCATATTCAAAGACTAAGGAAAAGCATGCTAATGATATGCTAAGAGGGCTCCATGGGGGATGGGGAGTTTTAGAAATCGAGGAAATATACGTCAGTTTTAGTCTTCTTATCCTCAGGAACGTCTTATGCTGCATCACATGCAACCTTGGTGCTGAAGGAGTGATGAAACAATTACAGTTCCATATAATCCTCAGCTGAATAATCACTCCATGTTCAGAAGTACATTTGAAAGGCACAATTTAATAGGTAGAGAAGGGTAGAGATCACTTTTATTCCCCGAAAGTCCCTAGGTTTGTCAGTTTTAATGGCAGAAATTACGTTTCAGCCAAGGCAAGAATAAACTCTTTGTATACAGCAGTCTCCTTCAACGGAGGTGCCCAAGGAACCGTTTGGGCAGCAGCCAAAACCGGCCTCTATTCAATCCCTAAATTAGAAAACAAAGAGATTTCATTGTGGTCAGGGCCCAGTAGAATTCGACGCAAGCTGTAAATACTTGCAAGGGCTGTGCTGGTCCCTCAAATAGTTTACCTCTTGGACCAGATGACTGCCTGATAAAAACTAATACCTGCTATCTTCAGGATCTGACCCAACAAAGGGAAACAACACCATTTCATTTCCTATTTTTAAACGCCTCCATTTATATTGTCTCCTTTAATGAATTAAGACATGCTTCCTTCCATTAGACAAAGAGAATTCTCTAACCTTTCCCTTTTTGCCTTAGCTACCAGGAAGCTCAAAGTTATTGACCTTTCACTGACAGTTCATTGATCATTTACCGAAAATTCTTTGAACTTTCATTGAAAGACAGTTCTAGAGAATCAGAACTTTGCCCCCAGATGTCACAGAGAACACCACAATACCTCAAAGTTCTGAGAAGTCATTCACTCTCTCTGGGCCAACATCATCAGGACCCAAGAACCTCAAGGCCCATTTGTTTGCAAGCAAGCTAGTCACATCCCTGTTCATATTTCAGCAGTAAATAAAAAGGACATGTCCATCTTATCTTCAGTGGAGAGACCCTGCTTAGGTTTTGACACCTCTGCATTTCAGTTTACTGTTTTACTGATCTGGGTTTCTGATGCATGCTTAGAATTTTTTTCCATCTCTAGATTTTAAAATATGCTTGAAATTAGGAGAATTTCTAAGCTGGCCAATGTCTAAAAATGTTGTCTACATGACTAAAATTAGACGAAAATTGAAAGCTCTCCAAATAAGTCTAGAAAATCCACCTCCTCCTGCATAGCGTCTACTAACAGTTATGCGTTCTTTTCCAGCACAAAACTATGAGCTTTTCTTCAAGGTCAGAGACTACCTTTTATTCATCTTCATGTCCTCAACACTTAGTACCATGTCTGATGCATCCTAGGTACTCAGCAAACTGTTGCTGAATTGAACAGAATCAAATTATAATTCATACCCTGCCTATATCAATAAAGGATTTGCAGTGGCTTGGAGTAAAGGGTACATAACCAGAAAAGCAAAGGTTAAGCTAACTTGGTTACTGTGACTGAACGTCAAATTGAACTTTGAGCTTCTCGATAGCTAAAGGCCAAAAGAAAAAGCTCATAGCTTATAGGATTCTCTTGTCTGATGGCAGGAAGCACATCCTAATTCATTAAATGAGATAAACGTTTGCCGGATACTGAAAAGTGAAAGGGAATTCTTCTCATTGGTTCGGTTACAAGGTTACAATAACCTCTGAACAGTAAAACAAGTCGTTTGTTCAGCACCAATTTTGCAGGAGATGCAGAGACGTTTTTCACATGGCTTTTCCTTATGATGACTAAAAAGCAGAACTGTGTTAAGGTCTAACTCGGTGAAGGCATGTCTGCACATGGAGTCACGGGGCCAAGTTAATAGGTCCAACCGTAGGGCCTTCCTGTAGACTAATGGCATAAGGGGTGGAGCTGGGATAACCTGGGGGGATGAAGGGAGGTCAATTCCCTTCAACTAGCTTCCTCACACAGCAATTTTGTCTCAGAGGGACTTGTGACCAGAGCTACACAGCAGATAGTTCAAGGCTGAGTTCGCGGGTGACACTTTCTGAGGTGCTGATTGAAGGAAGATCCGTAACAGACGTGCTGTGGCTACAAGGAGCAATTACCATGGTCATTCTAAAACACACACTGGTAAATTCAAAACACTCATGAGGCTGGGTTAGGCACAGAGGACACACAGACACACAGCCTCAAGAAGTCCACCACTCAACAATCTCAAAATAATTAACAGGGCTTCCCTGGTGGCGCAGTGGTTGAGAGTCCGCCTGCCGATGCAGGGGACCGCGGGTTCGTGCCCCGGTCCGGGAAGATCCCACGTGCCGCGGGGCGGCTGGGCCCGTGAGCCATGGCCGCTGGGCCTGCGCATCCGGAGCCTGCGCTCCGCAACGGGAGGGGCCACAACAGTGAGAGGCCCGCGTAC